AAATCATGAGGGTTTATATCAGCAGACATAAACTTGTTTACAATAAATTTCGGTGAATTTTAAGAACAGCTTTTGTACTATGTATGTTGCACAATGGAGGGGATAGTGTTTCTACCTGTCCTCTGAAGCAGATGAACTTCCATAGAGAGCATATTTAGAAATTATAAACCACTACATTAGATGCAAAGGACAGAACTTGAAACTGTCTAACGTGCTACTTGTTTTTCTTTGGGTGTTCCCTCCAACAGGGGGTCAACTGCTTCCAGAATGTTCCGTCACTCCTGGTAGTTTCATATCGTTCTTTATGACATTGCTCTACCGATTCTTTGTTCTTCCTCTTCTCTTTTCTGATAGTATCATTGCTTGAACCACATTTTCATCATACTGTTGGGGTCTGCTATTCACGTGACCAAATCAACAAGGTCTGCTTGCCCAAAGCTTTTCTTCATTCAGTGTTGCGTCTAAAATGCGTTTATGCAGGTGCTCTGGATACAGTCCACCTAGGTGACGCACTCATCCATCTGAACATTCACATTTCTATGGCGTTCATCTGTTGCTCGTATCTCTTCACGGTTGCCAAGCATTCCGGGCATCTTCTCATCACACAGTAAGCCGCTCACCTAGAGTCACGTCAGCTAGCTAGCTGCTCAGCGTTCTACTGCGGCACGAAATCAGGTTTTTAGAAAATGAATTTTCTTTCTCGCTGTTAGAACTATCGGTAGGAGTTTTTTTGATTTAACCACCAGCGAAACGTTTTGTAAAATTACGATTGCGATCGAAAAGAAATGATCACTTCATGTAACGTTGTGAGCAGAAATTGCAAGTGACTTTAAAGAACCCTATGTAGCTTAGCAACATTGTTATTGGCAGGTTCCGAGGACTTGAGCAGAGTTTACTAAATCACGTTAAAGAAAAGCAATAACCGTAAATGTTCCAAAGTGCAATTCAAGACGATTTAGCAACGAAATCTTGCCCAAGGTACTTTATGGTCATTCAGTCTTTTATTCGCCCTACGCCAGATTGTTGAGAATTTGTGGGAGTTCGCCCAACCGGTGTACATCTGCTTCGTTGATCTAGAGAAAGCCACTGACCTGATCCCGCGCCACAATCTATGGGTATGCCTGTGAACATGTGGGATCGATGACCAACTGCTGCGGAATATCCGGTTACCATATACTGATTGCACGTGCTGCGTAAGAGTAAATGGCTGTAAGTCAAAACCATTCAACGTTCACATAGGTTTCCGCTAAGGCTGCGTCCTGTCCCCTATCCTGTTTGTGTTGTACATGGATAGAATAGTCAGGAGCTGCCA